AATAAGTATTTGATCCCCTACCAACCAACAATAATTCTGGCTCCTCCCACATACTGGCTATGTGGTACACAGATTAGTCCTGTCAATTTAAGAAGGTGCTCCTAACGACAACTCGTTCTTTATATAAAAGACACCTGTCCCCATAATCTCTTTCTTCCATCCAAACCTCACCACCATGGGCAAGAGCAAAGAGCTACCAAATTTTGTTGGGGACAAGATTGTAGACCTGCACAAGGCTGGAATGGGCTACAAGACTATCAGCAAGAAGCAACTGTTGGAGCCATTATTCGCAAATGGAAGGAATACAAAATTGCCATCAATTGCCCTCGGTCTGGGGCTCCATGCAAGATTTCGCCTCATGGGGTAAGGATGTTCATGAGAAAAGTGAGGGATCAGCCCAGAAGTACACGGGAGGAGCTTGTGAATGATCTCAAGGCAGTTGGGGCCACAGTCACCAAACAAACCATTGGTAACACAATAGACCGCCATGGATTGAGATCCTGCAGCGCCCCCAAGGTCCCCCTCCTCAAGAAGGCACATGCAGGTCTATCTGAAGTTTGCCAATGAACATCTAAATGATTCGGAGAAGGATTGGGAGAAAGTGCTGCAGTCAGACGAGACCAAAATTCAGCTCTTTGGCATTAAATCAACTTGCCGTGTTTTGGAGGAAGAAAAATGCTGACTATGACCCTAAAAACACAATCCCTACAGTCAAGCACGGAGGTGGAAACTAGGGTTGCACAGATACTTTTCGAGTACCAGTGCCGATACTTGGCATTTTCATGAGAACTACCAGGGTTGCAGAGGATGCAGCTGGGACCTGGCTCTGGCGCTCCACTGTCCTGAAATCATTCGTCTGTATTGTTTTAGAAAAACTGTCACATGACACTAAACAAAAATGTACCAGTACTCATACTTGTAAGTACTCGGCAAGTACCAGTACTGGGACTCGCAAAACTGGTATCTGTGCATCCCTTTATTTATAAAAACAAAATCGTACATTAAAACAGAGTAGCTTTGCGGTTTCATCGGTGAGGAAAGGGCGTATTTTGGAGATGTTACGAAGGTGAAGGCGGCAGGATTTGTATAGTGATTGGATGTGGGGAAGAAAGGTGAGGTCCGAGTCTAGGATGAGATCTAGTACCCTGGCATGGGGGGAGGGTTGGAAGGTTGTGTTATCAATCATGTTTGAAAAGTTGGGAGAGGGTGCGCGGGGGAGGAGGGAATACAATGAGCTCAGTTTTTGAAAGAATGTCCAATGGACGGGGCCATGTATTGTAAAATCTTGGATGAGAACCTCCTTTCCTCAGCCAGAACACTGAAGATGGGTCGTGGATGGGTCTTTCAGCATAACAATGACCCAAAACATACCGCCATGGCAACAAAGCAGTGGTTCAAGGAGAGGCACATTAAGGTCATGGAGTGGTCTAGCCATTCTCCAGACCCTAAAGGAGAACTATGGGGCGAGTGCTTTTCACTCACCTCATAGTTCTAGCCGACCTGTGACAGTGAGACTGACGCAGGTCGGCTCAGTAGATCGGGAAGTGAGAGAACACATACCGGCGTTCGCTCACTTATCGATCCTGTCACGGCTCTCTGCCGTGACGGGAGGGACTGGATTCCCCCCTCCCTGCTCCGATCCCCCAGCGCTGACTGGCGGAACGGACGAGGGAGGGGGCGGTTACAGCTGGCTCTGCCTCTAGATAGGCAGAGCCAGCTGTCACTCACGCAGCTGGGCGGATCCAGACATAATTGTCGGGATCCGTTTCAGCTGCGGCGTCTCGGTATACCGTGAGCTGTAGCTCGCGGTATACTGAGCTCAGGGTGACGGGAGGACGCTAGTTTGTGTCCCCCCGTTACCCTAAGGAGAACTATGGGGAAAAGCCCTAACCCCATACTTCTCCTTTTTAATCCTATAGAAATTTTTTGGAGGGAGCTGAAACTTCGAGTTGCTAAGCGACAGCCAAGAAACCTTAAGGATTTAGAGAAGATGTGTAAAGAGTGGACCAAAATCCCTCCTGAGATGTGTGCAAACCTGGTAACCTCCTACAATAAACATCTTACCTCTGTGCTTGCCACCAACTACCACCAAGTGTTTCTCCACCAACTACTAAGTCATGTTTTGCTTGGGGATCAAATACTTATTTTACTCACTCTACTGCAGCTCAATTTATATCATGTGTCTTTTCTGGATTGTTGGTTGCTATTCTGTCTCTATCACTTTAAAATACACCTAGGATAAAAATTATAAACCTTTCATTTCTTTTGTAAGTGGGCAAACTCACAAAATCTGCAGGGGACCAAATCATTATTGCCCTCCCTGTATATCTCTGTAGGCAGATATGACCATAAATAAACTCTGAAAAACTGCAGATAATCTATAGGTGTATGACCAGCTTAGGACATAGGTTGCAATATTTTCTGAATGCAGAGGACCCATAGAATAAAATGATGGTAGTTGCAATTTATGTTGTCTATTAGTACAACTGTTTATTAAAGAGGAACTCCAGGAATCTAAAGTTATTCCCCGCACTGCAAGGCTTAACTGCTAGTTTTGGGCTAGGAGCTTAAATAAAATAAATAAATTTACCTAATCCTCGATCCCGTCTGGCTGCTAGACCGGTCCCTGCAGCCTCTTCTCCCCCATGCTTTGGCGGTGTAAGCCCCGATGATGTCATTATGTATAATGCAGGTCCATTCACCTGCATTAGATGTGAGGACTCCAATGACATATCGCAGTTGAAGGGAGAGAGAGGTGAGTGTCGACCACTGCAGAAGCAAGGATTAGATGAGTATTTCATCTGTCTTCTAGGCCCTAGAGAAAAAGGAGCAGTTAACCCTTGCAGTGCAGGAGGTCGCCCACTGCAAGGGTTAACTTTTTAATTAACTGGAGTTCTTCTTTACAACTATACTTTCCGTAATACGTTTAAATTAATTTTAGTGCACACAAACGCAATCAAAATTTGAAATGGTTTTATTTTAGTTGACGCTTTAAAAAACTTTATAGCTGATCAGTTTTTTTAGTTAAGCATAAAAATGCCCCTAGAATTATTCCTCTCACTCTGATGTGTGTGGCGATCTCTATTATGTATTTATTTGTGGCTTACATATGCATACATGCATGCATGCATGTATGCCATAAATGTGCATTTGCATTCAAATGTGCTAGGGTTGGAGTTCTGGGAAACAAAATTGGATCCCTTCCAAAGAGCAAGCTGGCAATAGAAGATTGAATTTCAGAAAGATCCTCTTCACTGCTTCTAAACAAATCAAAAAGCCCTAACTTCCCAATTGAGGGAAAATAGGACCGTGTTTCACTTTCTTACCACCACAATAGTAGCAAGTGCTCACTCTAAACCAATGGCATGCACAGAAATGTGAAAGTTAAGCTTAAAAGAGGAATTATTATATCTGATTATGCTGGCTATAGCTCTACCCCAGACTGAAGCCCAATTTATGGGTGTTTGTATGGGGAAGCAACAGCCACCACCCCCCTCTCCTCTGTATGTATCCTATTCAGAGTAATGGGTCTGTGATCAGGTAAGCCACATACAAGAAGTACATCTGCTTGTTATCATTTCCCCCTTTTATCCTCTTGTCCCACGGTGTCTCCACAGCCGGCTGCACACTTCTCCCCTTTTAGTCCCCTTATGTCCTGCTCTGTCTCCCTTGCCAGCTGCACAATCATTTACAGAGCCCACTCCCTCAAAATGTTCCCAGCAGCCACAAGAACATGAGTGACTGAGCAGTGCTGTGAGGAACTAGAAGTCCCAGTTGTAATCTGCTGTGTTGAATGACAATGCGCCTCACCTGCTGCCAGAGACGAGCCCTGCCACTTACACTTAATTATGTACGCATCGTATTGCTAGCAGCATGGTCCAACAGTGGTGGTGGCACAGGGAGGGGGGTGATTGGGCAGGGGGGCAAGCTGTCAGCCACGCTAGCTCAGCAGCAGCGATCTGAAGTGGATCAAGTGCTACATGTACTAGGTCCCCTGCGGGGGGGATTTCAAAATCAATGTTTAAGTTGTGGTAATACTTCTTCATGAAATGATAATTGCAAGCTGTTTGCATATAACCTAATGCTACAAATGGCAATAAGCAAGTATTGTTTTTTTAATTAAAAATATTACTTGCCTCACTTGTCGGAAGGGGTTATGCAGAAGTTGCATGTCAGTTTCCTGTGACATGCCATGCTGGACTCCAATCTTCACCTTCCAATGTGTTCAGCAGGTAGGGCTAGGCATGACCAGCCGCTGATAGGCACGCTTCAAGCTTGCCCATCTGTGATAGTCATGCTAATAGTTACTCACCCCTGTGCTTGTCAGATCACACTTTAGTGCTTGTGGATGCAACCATCGTGAGGGTGACAACGATGCCCAGAAGTCCTACGTGGTGGGCTGTTAACCCTTTAAAGAAGGTGGCCTGGGCAGACATTATCAATGGGTAAACTTGTGAGTCTGTGGGGGATAGAGGGAGGCAACAATATAATAGGTTCATTTTACTTGGGAGGGGGGGTAATCAAGCAAATTTTGGATTATTTTAAAGTGCAATAGCAGTAGTAACCGTTAGGTTCAGATTTCAATAATTCTCTAATTATTGGCTTCTTTTAACTTTTGGTCTTAAAAAAAAAATTGGCACGTGCAATTGTTGTGTTTTTTTTTTTTTTTTTTTTTTTTTTTTTTTTTTTTTTTTTTTTCTTT